GGGGGGGAGTGCTGGAATTTGGATTATATTATTATGTACATAATGGTGTTTTGCATCTCAATGAATATGGGATAAATATAAGAGCTCGGTTCTCCTTGTGTGGAGTTTGGATAGATAAGAACGCTGGTTTGGCAATAGTTGGTCTGGTGTGAGAGGGTTACAACTTGAACTGACAACGTGATGCTGGTGCCTCGTGCAGTGGTGCCCGTGGCTTGAATCTTTCTGTAGCTCCAGTTTGCAGCTCAGCTCTCAACCCTGATATTTAATAGCAAGCCCAGTAAGGCTGGATCTTTAGTTATTGGGCCCAGCCCAGGCCCAGCTCATTTTAGTCTTTTAGATTAGATGTATCGGTGCCCGACTGCTCGTATTCGGTGACCGGTCTTGCTTACTTCGAATGGTAGGGTCAGGGGGTGATCCACCACTCTGGACATAGGGCGCCTCACACGCACATCCTACCGTGCATTGGGAGCATCTCCCACACTTTTAAGTTATTATTCACGGGAGATGTTCTCAATGCACGGTGGACGTGCATGTGAGGCGCCCAAGTGTGAGGAGCAGATCCCGTTCCCTAGAGATCTAGTTGTAAACGTATAGAGAACAGCTAGCATGATCAAAACAACACTTGCACCGCGATGCAATTGTTGCTTGATTGAATGGTTGAGATTGATAGATAAGTGAGACTTTTGACTTAATTCAATTGGAATACGCCATAACATAATGTAGAGAGAGAGAGAGGTGCTGGCTGTACGTCATGTCGTCATCCACATCCACATGGCATGAAGGAAGGGTAGGTGTGTGGTATGGTGAGGAGGCTTCATCAGTACAGTACAGTGTCCATTTCAATCTATACTTCCGAGTTCCGTCCCGCACAAAGCAAAGCGACCGTTCAAGCTAAGCATCACTTTTCCTCCCACCACAAATAATAAATTGAGCAGCGATGCGATTGTTGTCTCGCCTTTGCCTCTGGGCTGCGGGTTGTGGGTTTTCATTTTCTCAATGAACAATCGGAAGCGGGTCCCAAACCCAAACCCAATCCCAATTCCACCCAACGTTTTATAACACTGCAAAAATTACTTATCTACAATTTGACGATCGCGTCACAGTTAACGATCTGAAGCAGGTGGTGCCATGGAGAAGGATATGCAAAATTTATAATTTCTTGCAATTCGTTTTTTTTTTCTTAATTCCAAATTCACCGTCGGCTTCTTCAAACTTCGAAGGCAGAATTCCGTATTTAGGTAGCTTTTTTTTGAGGTTTGGTATATGCACCTCTATATTTATCCGTGTCTGTGAGAGAAGATTCCCTTTTCTCCAACTACTTACGTAGTCGTAGTTGGATCCTCTGAGAGAATTGTAAAATGGAAGTAGGCGTGCGTTTGGACAGACTGTTATGTTTCTCAACCCACTGGTTTTCTGCGTTTGATCAGCCTGGCCTATTTTTACTTCTCGAGGCTATATTGCAGGGTGCTGTATTTGATTCGGACCTCTTCTGTCTGTCCTTGGGTTTAAAATGGTTTTAGTTTGCTAATTTGGACAGACTGTTGAATGTTTGATTTCCTTCAGCTAGGGTATATAAATTAGGGGGGGGGAGAGTAAAATTGAATTCCTATCCATTTATCTGCTATTCTTCAACTTCCGTTTTCTGATTTCTGTAATTAGACTGGCTATCTAGAAGTTAGAGCAGAGATGACCAATATTTTTATTTTTTGATCAATCAGCCAATATTTGCATTTCTGTCCATTTGTCTGCTATTCTTCAATTTTTGTTTTGACTATTGATTTTCAATATTTGATTTTGTTTTCTGGAAATGACCAATCACTTCATTTGATTCCTTGAACTGGCTCATCACAATATTAGAGAGTAAATTATATATAAATTATTCTTTTTGTGCATAGCATAAAAGATGCTCAAATTACTATACCTGGGTCCCATCTTATGATGACTGTATAGTTGTAGACGGCATCCTTTCCTTTTAGATAATTTAGTACAGATTTTATATCATTAGAAGAAAGAAGAGTTCTGCATATCTTGTGCTCCTTTCAGACAGAATTAGTAGCCTTATCCTGTTGTGTATTCATTCAGGATTGGAGATATATGGGAGAGTCATGCATCAACAGGCAAATGAATTCCATCTCTTCATCTGTGAGTGTTTTTTTATCCGATGCATATACTTACATTCTGCATATCTGTGCATTGTGGTTGACAAAATTATTAGAATTAGATTACTAAGTCACAACAGGTTTGACATGATGCAAAGAATTGTTTTCTCCTTAGTAATCAGGGAAATGAAAGAAAGCATGTTGTGAGATTCAAGCTTTTTATCTGTTTAGCATGAAAGATAGTTGTGTGGGAGGGTTTGTTACACATTGGATTATCTTTTTCTTTTCTTTTTTCAAAAGAATTTGTCCTCAAATCTAGTTTGCTTTCAGTCATTTTTTTTTTATAAATTTTAACTAATATTGTATTACTGAGAAACTGAGGGAGAGGTTCCCTTAAAGTTGAAATGGTTACAAGGATTATAACAGAGGCAGAACAGCAAGAAAACATTAGTATATGAACCTTCTTATTGCACTAGAAAGGATAAATGTGAGATAAAACTAATCTACTGGTTCGTGAAATGATCCTGTTGAACCCATTAAAATGCTTGAGAATCCCAATCCATCAAACAAGAGCCTTCTCTATTTAGCCAACTATTTCCCTATATTCCTTAGATTCAAAAATCCTGTTGTTCTTCATTTTCCATATAGTCCAGCATAATGCAAAATGAAGCAGGTTCACTAATATTTTCCTTCTTACACTAAAACCAGTCACCTTCTATGATGAGATTAATCTAGGAAGGTCCTCCAGAGTTACCCATTGCTGATTGAAAAGTTCAAGGAAATGAGACCAAGTCTTAAGAATGAAGTTACAATTGATTATTAGATATTTAAGTGATCCCTCCTTAGCACCTCACTGATAGCACCTATTTTTAATATTTATTCCTTTATTGATGAGATGTTAATGGTGAGAAATCCTATCCAATTCTAGCATCCATGTGAAGAAGGATACTTTAGAGGAGACATGAGTCTTCTGAATCTACCTCCACAGAAAAGTATACTGGCTATTTCCTTTCATAGGTAGAAAGGTTTAGTAATAAAATGTCAGCCCTACTCACCATTCAAATTCTGCCATCCTCCATGTCTGTATGTGGCAACAATTTAGGTGAAATATTGAAATGTCAGCATCCAATCATTCACATTACAGAGAAATCTTGGTGCCAAAAAAAAAATGCTGCTGTTCACTACCTTGTAATAATCTTGAATTGTTGCATCTTTGTTGAATGCAATATTGAACAGATCTCGGTAGACTGCTTCCAAATTCCAATGATCTGTCACTGTGCATCCCTCCAAACTCATCCATAATTTGCGTTATACCCTTCTATAAGCTCGCTGCAAATGTATTCTAGATATGTGAAACTTCCCAATTCATAGCATTGCTCCCGTGCTTATTACACCATAGATTCTCTTTCTCCATCCCTTATCTCCAGAGCCATTTTCCAAGAACTATCTATTCATCATCCTTAGGGGTTGTTTAATAAAACAGCTGGAGCAACTGAACTTAAAAGCTTATTGTTTGGTTTTTAGTGAATAAGATTTTAAGGTGGTTGTGAGCTCCTTAATGGCTGAAGCTGAAGTTGGGTAGACTACTATACTCCTGTATATTTTATTATTTGATCATTTTATCCACTAAAAGACAAAGCAATAAGTTTTTCATTTCGGTAACTTAAGCTGTTATCAAACAGCCACTTAGTCGTCTTACACCCACTGCCCTTCATCTTTTGAGACATAACCAGGCCACCAAATGGAATTTCTTTTCCTCATTTGGACCGTCCTACAAGAAGTCCCCATTTTTGTGCTTTCTTCTTGTTTGTTTTTGTGAGTAGGGTGCTATGTGATCACCCTATTTGTTGTTGCAACCTTTTTATTTATTTTAATGAAATTGATGCCTTATTTACTTAAAAAATAATCCTTCTTCTATCCAGATGATTTACACTTGAAACTTTCAATTATAGGATCTCATATTGCTTGGATCTATAGCTTGGACCCAATGAGAGACCTATAAATCCTGATGGCAGTGATACACACCTCCACCCTTTAGGCTGTATACCTTGTACAGGTTTCCCTACCTTTTCTTTCAAACCAAACACAGCCTAAAGGCTGAAATTTAATTCTATATATTTAGTGAATGTGGCACTAAACAGATCATAATGGCAAAACAGGATTCGTGTAGCTCTGAGCCTCTGACACCATGTGGTTGGGATAAGGCTTAGGTGATGATGATGAGTTATACACACCTCCACCTCAGAGTAGCAGCCACTTCTCCAATATTTGATCTTCACCAACTGAGATAAGTTCAGTTTTTTTTGGTAAGTTTATTTTCAATTCTTCTGCTTCTTGAAAACTTCAATTTTTTTGCTCTCTGTCATTTTATGGTGTATTATAAGTTATAACCTGATAAAAGGACTGCTCAAGTCACTAGGAGTGTCTAATATAAGGTCTTTCATCAAGACTTCTGTAATTCCGTGTTAGTGTTGACTGTATAGAGGTAGTTTTGTCAATTTGTTTATTTTGGTGTGAGGTGTCATGTTTAAGTGATGTGTCCCATACTTAAGTAGGGGCAAAACAGACCTTTTGTTTTCATTAGAAAAGTATAAATACAATCTGGCTGACTAGGGAGAACTGAACTCTCTCTCTAGTTCGAACCAGTTTTTCCTTCTCCTCTCTTCTCTTCTCTTCTTCTCTCTCTATCCTTTTTAGTTTTTTGCTACTGTTATTTCTTACTGAATTCTAGTGCAGGTCTGAACTTTATCATTCTGCAATGACCACAAATTTACCTTCTGAACAGCTTGTTTTTTGCTTGTCAATGGATGACTTTTTATTTCGTATCTTGACGTTGGCTTCCCAAATAAGACGTCGCTTCATTCGTTTCATTGGTAAATTCTTTATCATTTTTAGGTTGATAAATGGTAGTTTGATTATGTGACCTTTATTTACATTATAAATCCTATTCTTGTTAAATTAGGATGCTCAACTGAGTTTTATGCCCTTAGTTCATAGTTGCTATTTGAAACCATTTTACAAACATAATGGCTATCTTTGGGTGCAATTTGTTGTTGTAGAGGATCTTGTCTTCAGAGATATAGAAAGATGCTCACAAGATATGGGATTCTTGTCTTCTGGGCGGCATACAAGATCTTCATGTGGCAGGACATACCGATCTCATTCGAAGGGTTGTTCAACCTCTCCTAAACCTTCTGATCCAGGCACAAGCCTCCAGATCAATGCAATAGGAGTGCCAGAAATCCTTGAAAACTTCTCTTCAAGTAGAAATTTTGAAATTGTACAAAACAACCATACCAATTGGGGTGGTCCTTTCAATTTTCAAGGGTATGAATCCTCCTATCCTTTCATCTCATGAGAAATGATATTCAGTTATAAAGATTAAGTAGTGCATTTTAACCTTTAGTCAAAACCTGCTGTATCCTTGTTTCAAATTGTGAACATTATGGGAGCCCAGGGCCCAGGGGCTTCTATATCCATCCATTTGTGCATATAAACATGGCTAGGCTGACCTTTTTCTTGGTCAGGTTGTTGGGGGAGAGGTGAGGGTTCGAAGGAGGAAGGAAGAACAGAAAAACTAAAGCATTCATGAGGCTATCCTTAAAGACACATCTACATACATGTGGAAATACACAAGGATTGCATAAGATTAAGGCATGCATTGCATTTATTAGGTTCCAACTAGATCTACAGGGAAAAATATATTACAAGGAAGCTAGGCTGACCTTTTTCTTGGTCAGGTTGCTGGGGGAGAGGTGAGGGTTCGAAGGAGGAAGGAAGCACAGAAAAGCTAAAGCATTCATGAGGCTATCCTTAAAGACACATCTACGTACATGTGAAAATACGTAAGGATTGCATAAGATTAAGGTGTTACATTTATTAGGTTTCAACTAGATCTACAGGGGAAAATATATTACAAGGAAGCTAGGCTGACCTTTTTCTTGGTCAGGTTGCTGGGGGAGAGGTGAGGGTTCGAAGGAGGAAGGAAGCACAGAAAAACTAAAGCATTCGTGAGGCTATCCTTAAAGACACATCTACATACATGTGGAAATACACAAGGATTGCATAAGATTAAGGCGTTACATTTATTAGGTTCCAACTAGATCTCAGGGGAAAATATATTACAAGGAAGCTAGGCTGACCTTTTTCTTGGTCAGGTTGTTGGGGGAGAGGTGAGGGATCGAAGGAGGAAGGAAGCACAGAAAAACTAAAGCATTCATGAGGCTATCCTTAAAGACACATCTACATACATGCGGAAATACATAAGGATTGCATAAGATTAAGGCATTGCATTTATTAGGTTCCAACTAGATCTACAGGGGAAAATATATTACAGTCAGGTGATCTCAGCCATTTGGTTTCAGTCCTTTTCCTTTTCCATGGTGCAAAACTTAAGTCCAGAAAATATTCTGTAGATCTGGTTTCTGTTGCCCAATTAAGTGGTGGCTCCTGACCTACTGTACATGTGGCATGTGTCCAGTTTTATACTTTTGTGGTAAGTGTCACTATCATGTGATTTGTTATCTCAGGTGACAAGGTGCTCCTAGATGGATGCAGAAATATTTCCTTTTTGTACCCTGCATCTGACATAATCTAATCAATTTATCTGACATAACCTAATCGATTTGGTTTCAGTTTTGTATCCTACCCAGATTTACATCTTAAACTGATTGGTTTTTAATATCTACAGATTTAAATTATCTGCCTTGGTCATTGCATGGCAATCCAATCATATGCTTTGGTCCCCATATAATTTGGGAACACAGCTTTGATGGACACCCTCAAATGCACCATGACTTACAACCATTGTTCTGTGGTGTAGGCTATCATAGTGCTGCAGGTGCACCATGACATTGTATGTTTAGATAGCTTAGTATGGAAATTCAATTGTATAGTTCACTCAGAATTTGGGAAGAATAGGTTTCATGGAATCCAGATTGGGGGGGTACTGTGGTTCTTTAGACAATAATGTTCTTTGAGAATTATTAAGGCTGTATTTGGTAAGAGTACAAAAAATGAATGCACTCACATGAATGAAAATTTGTTCAAACTTGAGGAGTTGAGGGTGCAAACTCGGTTTGGTTTTGCACCCTTTTAATTTTCAGTGGTTTGGTTGTTATGATGGGTACAAAGATGAATACAAATTTTCTGGTGTTATGTTTATTCGATAAAGATGAACACAAATACAAAAAATTCAGCTATTTGACCACTGAACATTAAGATGAGTGTAAATGAAAACAATGAGGTTTAGTTTGGAAGGAGTACAAATACAAATATGTACAGTGTAAATACACATAAAATAGTTCAAAATACAAGGTTTTGCACTGTACATATTTGTATTTGTACTCCTTCCAAACTGAGCCTGAGTAAAAAATTTGTAGCCTTTTTTGGAGGCAAAACTTGCTGCTAAATGAGTGCAAATGGGGACTAAAAAACATTTTTACACCTTGTTTAGAAGTAAATATGCACTCTTACTGAATGTCTATCAAACTGGGCTGCAAATTTGCCTTGGTTTGATGTTTGCAGTCTTATCAAATGGAGCCTAAAACCCTTATACAAATCAGAGCATGCTTTTAATTTTAGCTTTACCTGTGCATCTGCATGTTTCTTACAGATGATCCAACCTTTTCCAGGCTGCTACTACCTGTATTTGGTTTTAGACTTGCCTGGAGGTTGACATTTGCCTGTTGGAGACGTTCCTTCTTTCATGTCAGACATGCTCAAATTCAAGTTCGGAGGTAAAAAGGCTAGTTCATGAACTTAATGGGTTTGTCTGTATTTTCCTTGAAACTGTTAATTTCACTTTGTTCCTATTGAAATAAACTAGCGATGTCTGCTGTTACCAGTTTCTTTTCCCGAGTGCGGAGGACAATGCATGGGTCCTCTGATGATATTGGATGGTTGCAGCGAACTCCTGGGATGGCACCCGTGGAGGATGGTACATCTAGATTCATGGAACTACTTAAACGAATAAGGTAACGAACTAATCTAATATCATGTGGTAGACTGCATAGAGTTCATTATATTGATTATAACAATCTATTTGCACTTTCAAACTCTCTCAGATGTCATTAGAACTTCCATTCTTGCAATCTGGAAGGAATTCAATCTTTCTATGTATGGAGAAAGTTATACTTTGGGCCTAAAGTATTTGGGGCTGGATAAAGAAGTATGTATGCAGCGTGGTTCACAACCTGAATCAGGAAATCACAATTTTCTTACTTTGTCAAGCAGCCAATAAGTTATAGGCCAGGTGTTTGGGTATATTTGGGGCTAAACCCTGTTTCTGAAGATCATTTAGGGAAGTTTTGGAAAGCCGGTATCTGCAGGGGTTAAGTAAGAAAGCAGACCAGCGTAAAACATGATTCCTTTGGCAGTTTGTTGGACCCTCTTGGTCAAAAGGAACAGTCACATCTTTAACATAACTGCATCTCAGAGGATATGTTGGCAAGGAAACTGATGGGAAGGCTGTAGTAGCAGAAAATCCCTGCTTTCAAAATAGGCATTTTCAGTGGACTAGGATACAAGACTTGTGTGGACTAGAAAAGTGAACGTATATCCCTTATCTGATGGATGAATTTGTCCATAACCCTTCAATGTAGTAGAGGCAGTAAAGTTGTATAAAAAAGGAATAATTAATCTGCTTAGAGTAACTTTCTCCATCTTTATCTAGTTATCATCAAATGGGAATTATTTCTTTTTTCTCTAAGGGGTAGAAAAATGTTTAAGGTTGGATGATATGGTTTTTGGTGTTTTCTAATGAACTGCAATGAAAATAAATGGACTCATTATAATAAGAGTAGATATATAATTTCCTTCTTATGTAGTTAGTAGTCTGCACTTACAGTGGATGTCACATTTCTGAAATATAATACTTGAAACATTTATTTTACATTCGACTGAGAGACCACCTGAGTTTTATATATGGGAATGAGCATTTCTTATGTCATTAACTCATTATCTTGCATAACCTAAGACATGGCAATCATTCTTATTTCTATAGATTAGGTATTTTATTTGCGATCCACAGGTTGAATTTAAAGCATAAGATTCATGTTCACCAACTGAATGGTTCTTCTATACAATTTTTGGACACCCTTAAGACACCTATGTGTGCTACTGTTCTGGTTTGTTCTTCTCAACAATATCCAGGTCATGTGGTAAATGGGTATATATAGAATAGTTCCAGTGCTCTCAAGAAGAATCGGGTGCTCCTCTTAGAAACTAAATTAAATGTACTTGATGAACTATTTCCAGTCTGAACTCTGAACTTTGATGGTATGTGAAGGAAATCCAGGCCCTCAGGCATTGGAGGAGTTTTTAGAAATGATGAAGGAAGAATCATTGCTCTCTTCTCAGGTCCTATTGGTGTGGGAGATTCTTTGAGGACTGAAGTTCAGCCCTTATGGAATGAGTTCAAAAAGCCAAGGAAATGAAGATCCGCAAACTGATAATTGAAGGGGATTCAAAGTCTGGTTATAAGCTGGCTTCAAAAGGAGGGGGGTGGGTGGGTGGAACTACATTAATGAAAAAAGAAGGTTTAAGTTAAGTGGCTGGCACCAGGAATGGAAGTGAATCTGCATTGGGTGAAAAGAGACGCTAATTTCTTTGCTGATGCACTGGCTAAACATGGGGTGGGAAGGAATCAACCATTTTTGGCTATGTTGTAATCATGTCATTCTGTTTTGGGAGAATTAAGAGAGTCTCTCTCTCTCTCTGTACTTAATTTTATTTAATGAATCTATTTCAGTATTGATAAAAAATATTTCAAGTCTGAAGTAAAAAAAGATTTGATTCTGGCATTCTGCAGATAGGTAATAATTGCCTTACAATTATGCTGCAAGCTTTTGGAATGTTTTTAGGTAGAAAGGTCTTAGTTAATGGGCATTTATTCTTTTTCACTGGACACTTTGTCTTATGAATATTGGTTATTTGCGCCATTTTTAAATGTATGACTGTGTGCCGTATGAGCAATGGTTCTTTTTCTTCCTGCCAGTACGGCCTGGTATATGTGAATGTCATTGCTTATTCCCTTTCTTGTCTTTTTTGTTTATAATATGTGAATCCAATTGGTTATTGCTTTCTATGGTTTCCAGAAATGGGGAGCATACTCTGCCTAATTCATTTGTCTACTTGCTAATTCCAGGTGAGAAAATTTCTATTTTTTCCTAGTCTAGAGCATTGAGCTTCTAGCTCTTTGTTTGATTCTTGGAATAGGCTGTTGATCCTTTTCTGCTGCAACTCATGGTTCTTGCAGGTCTTTTTAGCAACCATGGTCCCTTGTATTTTGTGAATACAAAAAGATTTTTCTCGAAGATGGGTCTTGCATGCCATATTGCAAAGATTCACAGTGAGGTAAGAAATGAATTCCTGTTTACCTTCTTTTTCATCATTATCATCGCAGTTGTTATAATCCCCATTGTCATCATTATCATGTCTCTAGAACTGTAATAATTCATGTTGTTGTGCCCTTTATATTGGAAATTTTCATATGCAGGCATCAGTGGAGCACAATGCATGGGAGTTAAAGCAATACATTGAGGAACTGTATTGGGGTTCTGGCAAGCAGGTTATGCTGCTTGGGCACAGCAAAGGTGGGGTGGATGCTGCAGCAGCATTGTCCCTTTACTGGTCTGACCTAGAAGACAAGGTTGCTGGCTTGGCATTAGTGCAAAGCCCTTACGGTGGAAGCCCCATTGCTTCTGACATTCTCCGACAAGGCCAGATTGCTAACAGGGAAGCTCGGATGATCATGGAGCTCTTGATATGCAAGCTTATCAAGGTAATCTCATTTTCGAAGTTTCTCTTTGGATTAAGGTGGAACTAGGGGGCAATGGGGTCCCTTGTGGTTTTTAAAATCTCAAAAACTGCAGATTATAGCCTATAATTTAATGAATTTGTGTTCTGCACGGCACCATTTTTTGGAGCCAAGATACCGAATTCTGAAGCTTGTGCAACTGGGACATCGATCCCCACCCCAAGATGACTCAGCCAATCAAAACACAACCCAATTAGGGCATTAGACTATAAGAATCAGGTTTTTAACTTTCACCATCACTTAGCACTTCCCATCGATTAACTAAAATGTGTGTCCTGTGCATTTCAACCAGAGTACCGGACTTTTCTGAGCTTAATTGCTTCCACCACTATAAAATATATTGTTTACCCTACTTATGGAGCCAAAATCTTTCTATACTAGAAGTTTTAATCATCATTCTCAGAAAAAGAAATGGGGAAAACTTGCTTTGTTGTGGAAGCTGTTAAACATACAAATTGTACTGCAGGGGGACATGCGAGCCTTGGAGGATCTCACTTATGATAAGCGGAAGGAGTTCATCACAAAGCACAAGCTTCCAGAACAGATCCCTCTAGTGTCCTTCCACTCTGAAGCAAGTGTAGGACCAGGTGTTTTGGCCATGATGTCCCACATAGGCCATGCAGAGCTTCCACGGCTCCCCTTGCCTAGGTGTTTTGGGAATGAGGAGTCTGACATCATCCAAACTGGGCGCAAGGTGCCTGTGGTCTTCCCTCTTGCTGCTGTCATGGCAGTGTGTGCACTGCATCTACAACTCCGGTATGGAGAGAAAAGTGATGGCTTGGTGACGTGCCGTGATGCAGAGGTCCCAGGCTCTGTGGTGGTCCGACCTGAGCGGAAGCTGGACCATGCTTGGATGGTTTACTCCTCACAGAAGAGGGATACTTCTGAACCAGATGCTTGTGAGATGTGCGAGGCCCTACTGGCTTTGCTTGTGGAAATTGGAAACAAGAAAGCAGAGCACATGGGGATGGTGTCTATCTCCACTCAACTGCAAAATTAGCTTTCTTCTACCGGGTTGTTACTTTTGTTATCACTGTTCGTTTGCTTGTTGTCTGAACATCAATCTAGATAGCGGGGAAATGATTTAGAAAAAAAAAAAAAAAAAAACACCATGTTAGATGTTACCAAGAGAAACAGTAATTTAAGCAAGCAGAAAAAAAAAAAAGTAACAGCAAGATACCAACAAAAAGAGTAATTTAGACCAGATCCAGTGCGTGGCTTTTTATTTTTAGTAAAGCGGCAAGATTCCCACTCAACTCAAGTACTCTTTTCATCATTTATTCTTTAAATGTTCCTTTTCGAGGGTTACATGGTGTGAAGCACAGGTTGGTGTGAACCCAGAAAGAATACTCTCACCATTGGCGCATCAGTTCTTCGCGAAATGGTATATGAGCCTTACTAGGCTCCTGTCAAACCATGAGGTTCTCATGACTTTTGGGCAAGGATGTATTTTATTTTACCTCATTTGGGAAGCCAGGAACAAAGTTCTATTTGAAAACGCCACCATTAAGCCTTCGGACAATATTTCCAAATGGCTTATCACCTTACCGTTAAGACCAGCTGAAGAGACAATACACTCTGTTAGAGATATTACAGCAGTAAGTTAGTTGTACAGCTGTCATTTGTTACAACGAATTTCAGGCTTAGGTGTCAACTGTTAGTCGGTTACTCTTCTCCCAATTGTTGCTCTGTTTTCGCATCTGAACCAGTTTTACATGGTATCAGAGTGAGGCTGGAATAATCTTTTGATCCGAGGCCATCGCCGTCGACTAACAACAGCGGTGATCTGCGGATTCGTACTTGTCTCTTTTCATTGTCTACGACTCTTTCCTTATTGTCTCATGGGATAAAAGAAACGACGGTTTCATCACCGGCGACCTTGGCAGAGGGCTATGAAAAACGCTCTTCGTGCCAAGAACAAGATCTGTTTCATAGACGGATCTTTGTCACATCCTGACCCTATCTCGCCGGAATGGACTGCTTGGGAGAAATGCAATGCCATGTTGTGGCTTGGATCCTCAATTCAATGATAAAAGAAATCTATGACAGTGTGGCATTCGTAGATTCAGCATCTAATGTGTGGAAAGAACTGGAAGTCTGATACTCGCAGAGTGACGTTCCAAGAATCCACCAATTAAAATGGGATCTGGCCATGCTACAGCAAGCCGATCTCTCTGTCACCAGCTACTTCATCAGATTAAAAACACTCTGGGATGAGCTCGGCACTTTGACCTCACATCCAGAATGCGCATGTGGCGCTGCTGTAAAGATACTTGCGGCTGAACGAGAGAAGGAAAAATTGCATCAATTTCTCATGGGCCTGCATGAAAACTACAACACCATACGGTCCAGCATCCTCGGGTCAGATCCATTGCCCTGTCTCAACAAGGCGTATTCTTTGATACTTCAAGAAGAATGCCATCAGCAGTCTATTTCTCTTCGTGGCCCGTCAATTCCTGAAGCATTGGCACTGCAAGCCTCGTTTCAGCCACCACCTCGGGCTTCTAATGGACTAGCTCGAACCAAGATTTGATGCAATCATTTCCAACGGCAGGGGCATACAAGAAACAAATGCTACCAATTAGTCGGATATCCTCCCAATTGGGGAAAAGTAAAATATGGCCGTCAAGGCAACAAGGCACCAACTACTTGGCCTAGCAATGGATCGAGTTCTTGTGCAGCTGGAACTGAATCCATTCCTTCACAACCTTGCAACACCACTGGAACCTCTCCAATCAATGGGCTTACCATGCAACAATATACACAGTTGCTCTCTTTGTTGAGTGTAAGCCCCCCCTAAGTTTGCAGCAGCAAATGCATCTGGTAATGACTTCTCTCCTATTTCTTGGATCTTGGACAGTGGTGCTTCCGACCACATGGTTGCTTCAGACCTGAATTTTGTCACACACAACAACCTCACTAAACCAGTTTATCTACCCATTGGTGACATAATTCCAGCAAACTAACAAGGCTCTGTTTCATTAGCTAAGGGGACTATCCTTCATAATGTGCTTTACATGCCACAATTCAAATGCAATTTACTGTCGGTTAGTAAGCTTATTGTTCAATTAAACTGTGCGGTATTATTCTTTCCAACCTTTTGTGTCCTCTAGACCTTGTTTCCAAGATGGTGATTGGAGTGGGTAAACTCCACCGTGGTCTGTACCACTTCAAGTTTGTGGATTAGACACCCACATCTACTCATTCGGCTGTTACTGACGACAATTGACCACATGGCATAGGCGACTTGGCCATGCTTCCAACAATAGCATTTCTTTTATTCTTGGTGTTCAAACTACTGCGATATATGGGGAGGCTATCAAATTCCTTCACATTTTGGGGCTCATGTTTTTCTAACAATTGTAGATGATAACACCCGATGTACTTGGGTATATATGTTACGAAATAAATCAGAGGCAGTCCCTTCCCTCACATATTTTTGCAACATGGTGCATAGACAATTCAATTGTTTAGTTCAAATGGTCAGATCAGACAATGGCGCTGAATTCATGTCACGACAACTGCAAGAATACTTCCTTCACCATGACATCTTACATCAAACCACTTGCCTTGATACCCCCCAGCAAAATGGTATAGCTGAACGCAAACATTGACATTTGCTGGAAGTAGCTCGTGCTTTGAAATTTCAGGCCTCACTACCTACTTCATTTTGGGGGGAATGTTTACTGACAACCACTTACATCATCAACCTTCTCCCCACATCGGTGTTATCTGGCCGCTCACCATATGAAGCACTATTTCATTCACCACCATCTTATGAACATTTACGGGTATTCGGGTGCTTGTGTTATGCTCAAGTGCATCCCCGACCCCTTGATAAATTTGCAAGCAAGGCTGTTAAAAGAATCTTTGTTGGCTACCCTCATGGCAAGAAAGGATACTACATATTCGACCTAACTACTGGTCGTATATTTGTTTCCCGAGATGTAAGTTTCTATGAGCATATCTTCCCCTTCTCCCAAACTCAGAAAACCCAACCGTCCCCCATCATTCCTTTACCACAATCAAATGACACTCACATTGATACTGCTCTCCAACCCACAAATGAAATCATTGTTGAATCCACTCGACACCTCCAAGTCCTAATATCCATGATTTTGAACCCAACACTGCGCCCCTTTCACCCACAATTCAACAGACCCCAGCCATTACCACACGACCACAACGGTCTCACAAAATCCCAGCCCGACTACAAGATTACATCTATTCCCTTCCACCATCCATCAACCCACCACCACCATCCTCTAACAATGCAACCAGTTCATTAAAGGTTGAGCCCACTACATATGCTCAAGTAGCCTCTGACCCTCAATGGAAACAAGCAATGGATGATGAAATTACAGCCTTGGAAAAGAACAACACTTGGACTCTTGTAGAACTACCACATGGCAAATGAGCTATTGGTTCAAAATGGATCTATCGCATCAAATATCATGTTGATGGCTCAAACAAGCGATTCAAAGCACGTTTAGTAGCCAAGGGCTACAACCAAGTGGAAGGTCTTGATTTTCATGACACATTTGCACCTATAGCAAAACTAGTTACAGTATGTTGCCTACTTGCAGTTGTCGTAGCCAAGAACTAGGACATTCACCAACTAAATGTCAACACTGCTTTCCTACACGGAGATCTTGATGAAGAAGTCTACATGACTATCCCTCCCGGGTTTGCCAAACAAGGTGACTGTCGAGTATGCAAATTGTAGAAATCTCTTTATGGGCTCAAACAAGCTTCTCGCATGTGGTTTCATAAATTCACCCAAGAACTTCCTTCCCTAGAATTCACTCAATTTATGACAGATTATTCATTGTTTACCAAACAAAATGACACTTCTTACACTACTACCGTAGTTTATGTTGATGATGTTATAGTTGCCGGGAATGATCCTTCAGTCATGTCTTCTCTCAAAGCCTTCCTCAATGAGCACTTTGGAATCAAGGATCTTGGACCACCCAGTTTTTTCTTGGGTCTTGAGGTAACCCGCACTAATTCAGGCATATTTCTCAGTCAAGAAAAATATATTCGTAAGATACTTCAAGACATAGGGATGATAGACTGCAAGCCTGCACCAACACCCATGGAGTGTCAAAGACACTTCACTGACTCTTCCAGTCCATCTCTAACTGATCCAGCACAATATCGTCGGCTTGTTGGTCGACTAATGTACCTCATTATCACTAGACCGGACCTCTGCTTTGCTGTCAACTGCTTAAGTCAGTTCATGCATGACCCCAAGCAAGAACATCTCGATGCTACTTTGCATGTTGTTCGTTATCTCAAAGGCACTTCCTCTTCTGGCATCTTCATGGCAGCCCAAAATGACCTCATTCTTCGAGGATTTTGTGACTCGGATTGGGCCTGCTGTCCACTAACACGATGCTCCACTACAGGCTACATTACCATGCTTGGCAACTCTCCCATATCTTGGAAAACAAAGAAGCAGCATACCGTCTCACGCTTCTCTACTGAAGTTGAGCATCGTGCAATGGCAGTCACAACCTCTGAACTCTTATGGCTCAAAAGACTCCTTGTTGAACTCACCATCTCTGTTAATGTCATACTTCTACATTGTGACAATAAAGCTGCCTTACACATTGCAATAAATCCAGTTTTTCACGAGCGTACAAAACACATCGAGATCGATTGCCACTTTGTTAGAGATCATGTTCAGCAAGGAACCATTTACCTAGCTACAATCAACCAACTGACTTGTTTACTTAAAKCTTTWAACTCTKATSAATYCTGTCACCTTKTAYMCRAKTTRSRCWYTCSACKMYYCMAYKATMCAACKKGRRGGGGGTGTTAGAGATATTAYAGYTGTAARTTAGTTGTACAGCTGTCATTTGTTACAATGAACTCCAGGCTTAGGTGTCAATTATTAGTCGGTTACTCTTCTCCTCCAATTGTATTTATAAAGACCTCATTCAATGAAATCGGCAATTCATTCTTCTTCCCAATTGTTGCTCTGTTTTCGCGTCTGAACCAATTTACACACTCTAATGTTAGTCTATCGTCAAATTGATGGCTCATATGATCCAATTCAGGATGCTCATTCATCCTCAAATACGCCAATACGCTCAAAGAATATAAATCGTTGCAATACGCTCAAAGAATGAAAATCGTTGCTGGCGATCAGATTACTATCCTCAACGACTCTAGCAAAGTCTCTTTTGCGAATGATCTATCCTCGGTGATTCCCAGCAAGTCTCAGTGACTACAATATGGATCGAGCAGTTTCAATCATCAAGTCCAAGTGATGCAGGAGATGAAGAGTCAATTGGAATTTTATGTATTTCTGTATTTTTGGACAATAGTGGTATTTTTGTTATTTTTGCAATTTTCTGTGGAGTTTATTGATAAGGTTTAATTTGTTTAATTATAGTTTATTTATATTTAAAACTTCAAAATCATTGTATAAATAGGATTAGAGTTATTGAGTCTTCTTTGAATTAAAATAGGATATTACAGTTTGAGCCCTAATAGGATTATTGAGTCTAACAGTTTGACTCCTAAGACTATTATTGAGTCTAACAGTTTGACTGCTAGGATAATTGAGTTTAGAGTCTATAAATATGTATGGACATTTTACCCAAGGCAATGAAGTTTATTGAATTTCCTTGAGCTTATGCTAAATATGGTGAGTGATTCTCATGCCCTAAAGTGATTCTACGCACCCTATGAGTGATTCTAAGTATTTTCTCTCTTATTCCTTCAAGAAGTCATTATAGCCATCAATAACAATAAAATTCTGATCCAAGAACACCATTCAATATTCTCTAAGAACTATAACTGAGCTGGTCCTACATCACCAAGCCTACAATATGGATGGAGCAGTTTTATCGACTAAAAATATCTAATTTATTAAAAAAACTATCTTTAAGTTTCTTTTGCTTTTGTAAAATGTAAATAAAACCGGTAACCTGGCTGTTCATACCTTCTTCGCTTATTTTGCTTGCAAACCCCATACTAGACTAGAACTCTAGTAGCTATCAGTAGCAATCAGTATATACAGTTTCACAGAATGGAGCTGCCTTTTTTTTTACTCATTAGGTGAATAAGAATTGAACCGTGAATCAAATGGATTATTGTATTTATATTTCATTTGACAAAATCAGTTCTCTGACTACAGACTTTTTTTTGGGTTGTCTAAAGTCTAAATCAACCGCTAAGTTTGAAAAAGAATAATCAACTCATCATGAGAGACACGTTTCAGGAAAGAGTACGGACTACGGGAATCTAGACATCATAGACGAGATTGACTTTTTTGCCCCCGTAGCCGCCCTCTTCCGTCTCCGTCGTTCAAGTAAAGAACCAACAGCAGCTAGTCAGCAAGGCCAGAGCCCAGAAGGCGCACAAGTACGATTTTCGATAAGCTCCCATACCTTACCATTCATCAGTCATCACTCGGGCATTCACCAGCAGACAGCATTTCGCCCGTTATACGTGATTTTTGACACCTCCAATTGCAAAAACAGTTATTAAGTTAACAACCCAATTGAAAAAATTTTCCTTTTTTCTCTTTCACCTGTATTTTTTGACATCTACTGCTACAGATTCCACATGGTCAGACTGAGAATTGATCCTCATGACAAGATTTAGGGACTCGAAAAATCATGCGAGGAAGATAAGGGATTCATCTGTTCCCTAGTTGTGGACTGTGGACATGGCTACAGAAATCAAAGTTCATGTGCTCAAGGCTAAACCCAATCAAGATGGCTCTTCAAAGGTTAAGGGACTTTCTCCTCTTAACAAGAAGAAGGTTGTCAGCTCAAGCAAACACACCCCGGACTCGAAGCAGAAATCCGTCTCCACTCTTACTAAATCTGAGGTACCCCATATGAGATTGTTCAGTTTTGATTTTCCGTGTCTCGTACTTATCTAACAGGTACCCGTTTGGAGAGTTTCAGTTTTTGTTTACTTGTTAATTGCTCCATTTGGCCTTCTGAAGTTATGGTGGTTGTTTTGCTTCTTCTTTTTCCTCTATTACTTAATTATATCATTTTTTTTTGCCAGAGCTTCTGGGTATTTGAGCTTTTCATTTTCCTTTTCAAATCTTGTTAAGTTGATTTGAATCGTTCTAACAATGAATGCCTTATTATAATGGAGGTGAAGGCGAAGACAACATCAACAACATCAAGTTCATCAAAATCTGTCTCTAAGACAACAGCTGTTAAGGTGAAATCAAAGAAGAAAGTTTACACTTTGCCTGGCCAGAAATACGATCCTCCTGAAGTAGTACTAGATCCATACTCTTTGGCTGTACCCTTCTTTTCAGGAAGAATATATTCCATGACTAAATATCCATTATTTCTTATCTTTATTTCTCCCACTGCTTTTCACAGAGAGAGCCGCTAAGGATATTCTACGAGTCACTGTCCAAACAGATACCCTCAAGTGAAATGGCAGAATTTTGGTGAGTATCATTATAAGTTATCCTATTTTCCTTTGCTCTTACTATCCTGATTCTTATCAAGTTATCCTTCTAGAAATTGTTCATCTTTGAAATTCCGGATTTTGCTAGATTTCTGATTCTATACATTTTAGAAATGGTGCTGCATGTTGTATTTTCCTTGAATACTGATGTCACTTGAATGAGAGAAGGGGGAAGGGGGGAAACAGGAGAGTTTAACCTGTTAAAAAGGAATCTAGTAAATAGAAAAGCGCTTGAAACAACAAATCTTGTGATCAAACTCCTGAACTTTTAGGTGGTTAAATTGGGATGCCAAACCAAGTTCCTAGTTCTGTACTTCTATCATTCTATGCCCTTGGAATTTTCCTTCTTTTAAATAGTCATGTGAGTATTCATACTGTGACTTGCATGTATTGTAAACTCCTGCAAGTTCATTCATTTATTCCATCTGACTTGAGATGTGTTATGTGAATTAAGTGTTATTAAAGCATTGTGCCCAGTCAGATCAGAATCATGCTGACTGCCTCATTAACCAGTCAGTCAATTCGCATGATAAGTTTGCCTGGGATAATTGAGCACTGACTAGGTCAACTGTGTTCACTAACAACTAGTCTATTCAGTTGACTGGGTTATTTTTAAGGTTCTATCTGTTTATTCTTATCTTTAAGAAAGCATTATAAATGCAAAATGCCATTTATGTATGACAATTACTGCATCTCTGATAGCATGTGGTTGGGTAAGTGTAAATAAAATAGAAAGAAAGCCAATTAAAAGAAAAAATAGTGAAGAAGACTGAGACTGCATTCAGGATTTGCATGCTTCAATAAGTATGTTTGTGGTGAACCTTATGCCACCCATAACTATGCTTCTTTGGGTTCAAGGAAATTCTGCTACTAAATTAATCACTATTATCACTATAGAAAAGTAGCATGGTGTGCATTTCTTTTGCTGATACTGTTTATGCTATCTGACTCTGTTCTTTTTGTGGTTCCCTAACATGATTTGGTGCTGCTATCCACAAAAAAAGAATGTTTTGTAGAAAAAGAGGGCATGGTGTGCATGCACCCATGGCATCATCTCCAAAATGTCGAGCAAAATTTTGAACTCCTGGTGAAAATATGGAGTATGCTGTTCAAGGCAAAGGACTTCAAGATAAATCAAGCATCAAAATTTGATTGGTCTGAAATGAGAAGTGATGTTTATCTGCCTATGCATATAGCAGTGATGAAATTGTTGGACACTTTACAAACATAATTAATATGAAGAACACAAAACTCATAAATACCAAAGATAACACTTTTAAATAGCTCATTTTACCAAGTGTGGCAGATTTGTTGTGGAACAAACTGGAGAAAGTACTTTTCCTCAATTTTAGGGGGTTTAAAGAATTGGGGTTTATGTATCATGAGTGTAATAGAAAAGGTTACTTGGGATCATTGCTTTAATGAATTTATGGTTAAAGGCTTGACATAATTGAGGACCTAGAATTATGGATCAAACTAACCAAGAAATTCATAAAATTTAAATTTTCCTTAAATGAATAGCCTTAGAAGGTATAAATGTTTAGATCCTTCTGCACAATGACAGCATGCGTTTAATCCAAGTAATGATGGTCTACCAATCAAGTGTTTCATTTGATATAAAGGCATTTTCTCATCAGCTCATAAAACTGGGCTATCCATCTGCTAGTGCCATCAATGGGAGTGTTAATATGTATTAATGGAGTGAAGCCTATTTTGGTCTGTAGTTCTAATGCAGCCTTCTACTAAGATGGCTTATTATTTTTTCAAGACCACGTGAAGGACTGAAGGTTTAAGTTTCTTCAGTACTTCTCTTCTTTATCTTGTCTAGATGACAGCAAAAACCTCACTTGAGCATGGAAGATCTCTCTCTACAAGGAATGCAGTGCCAGTGTTTCCATTTATACTTTATTTTTTGATAAATATTCCATTTATACTTTTTTTTGATAAATTTTCCATTTATACTTTTTTAATTCAATATAATGTTTTTTTTTTCTGCAGATTTTCTATTATAAGTTTTCAGGCCTTTTCTTCATGTCATTTATTGTGGTGCTTATAAAAATGCAAATTCCCTGTGACAACAATTGATAAAATAACATGTCTATCATTTTAGATTAAAATTTCTAGTGGATGAAGTCTTGTAATTAATGGGGTTGTGATATTAATGGAGGCAGATTGGACTTGGATTTTCTTGCACACTTATTTTCACTTTACAGCTGAAACCATAAAATTATATTTCAGACTTCCTTAAATCTGAGTTGTATATAGCAACTTTCTGAAACCATGATTCTTAACTATTTATCTGTATTCACAAGCTCATTGCTCAAACTCCAGGGCTGATTACTTGAATTTATAGGGGCCTCTCTCTCTCTCTCTCTCACACACACACACACACACACATAATAATTGTGCTAAAATTCTCCCTTGTGACTTGAAGCATCTTAGAGATTACTATTTACAACACAACTGAATAAATTATGAAAAGGATTACCTACTTCCATGTGCAGGATGATGGAACATGGTTTATTGTCCCCCGAAAGAGCAAAGAAAGCATATGAGAGAAAGCAGAGGAGGCAACAGCAGCTAAGGATGGGAACTCCCATTAAGTCACTGAAACTTGATAAACCTGAAAGCTCACAAAAGCAAAAGCATGCCTCCAAGAACAGTGATTTGAAAACCAAGAAGAGAATAATTAATGAGAATGATGATGATGACTTCATTGTAAGACCCAAGAAAATTGTGAAAAGTTAAACCAAAGGCCCTTGTAACAATGTAACTTTATTCGGGGAATACTCCTGATAAAAAAGTTAGTTTGGCTTTAGCATAACTTGAAAGCCAAAAGTCAAGTGTTGTTTGACATTATAAGAGGATTTATACATTCTCTGTACTGTCTATTTATGTCAAAAATTAAGCCAACTACATTGTTTTCTTTTTTTTTTATTTTGTTTTTTCATCTGGTGGTACTTTATGATTTCAGAATGTATTTTTTTTTCCTTTGACATAGATATTGCACGTTGAGAAGGCATTTGGTAAATGGGAGGGTTTTCCTTTGATTGTGGATTTGTGGTCTATGAAAGGTATTTGTGGGTGCAATTTTTCATATATAGGGACTTTAGATGCTCCAAACATTACCTACACTTTAAAATAAATAGGGAGCTCCTCCTCTATCTCCTACATCTTCCGATTATGATTATGGCAGAAGGATAAACATTAAGGGGGTGTTCTTCAACGTTAATTGTTTTCCTTGTTGTCAGTTCCAAAAACAAATTAAAACCATCTGGTTTGAAAACAAAGTGGTTCTTCAAACAAAAATATGAAAACATGTTCTTGGTTGTATGTGTGTGTGTGTTTATTTTTGTTACCAAAACTGACAAAAAATGTATTATTGAATCTCTGGTAAAAAATATGTTTCATATAATGGTCCTTCATCATCTTACATAAATCATACAATATCTGTATTCGAAAAAACAAATGAAAACAAAAACATTAATGTTGTAGAACTTCCTCTAAGTTGCTAATGAATTCTTGAGGTTTATCCAAAACTTTATAGTTAAAGAAGCAAAGGAAAAATTATGGTGACCTTCATCCTTATTGTCCTTATAAAGTCATATAGTGTCAAGGGTGGTGCACTAATGGGTCCTTATTTTATGTGATAACTAAATAGCCCACAAATGGATCCAATGAACATTCATAAATATTACCCGTTTGATTTCTTTCTCTTTGCATTGACTGTGAAAATTTACTACAAATCAAAGATAAAATCCTTCTTGAAGTTAAACAGTTAGCTTTAAACGTTCAAGGAAAGGTGCCAACTAGTGGGTATATCTTGACATAGGATCCCCTTCATTCTAAGAGCAAACTGCTGACAGATTACGCAATTACCATTATGCAGAAAAAGATTACATGGTTGGATGTGGGTATGTATAAATAGATTGCAGATTTGTAGTTGGCATTTATGCCATAAGTTACTCTTAATTTTAACAGGTTTCAACTCATAAAATCAGGAATATCTAAACGAAAGATACCAATGCAAAAGATATTGAATGACACAGAGAGTGGGGGTGAATATACATTACATTTCTGCTTTAACAGTCGATATTCATGTATTGACAAAAAAGTGGGCTCTTTTTATTCTAGCCCATATAGGTACAGTGATTTTAATTTTTAACTGTGCAGGCCTTGCTATCAGATTTCTGCAGCAGGCAAAAACATGTATAAAGGATTGAAAAGAAAATCATTCATTCTGCAACTGAATGGTTGCAGGTAGATGTATCTTGTTAGGTGAAGTATCCATCATTGCTATATAATCATGAATCTCGATCTAGATCTGTGGCTGTAGTATCTAAAATAGCTTGGCTAGGAGAAGTGGGGCCCCTGGATGCTGCCAGATATGCATGAGGATGCTGAACTATGACTACAAAGGAACCTGCAGATCTTTCAATATCTGGAGGACAAGAAGTTGGCTGTAGAAATGCATTTACAATTTTTAGTATGAATACCAATTAATGTTACTGAAATTATACAGACTAAATAAAGCTTACATGCTGAAAACTTAAGGCAATTTCTTCAAGTAAACCATGAAGTTCTCTTATTGCTAAGAGGTTCTTCAGGAGGTAATAGATGTGTCAATTCCTCATTCAATAAAAACATGTAGAGGAATAACAAAAGATAGACAAGGTTGAAATGGTTTTACTTACCACCCCAATGTGCCATTCATGAGATCTAAAATCTTTGAAAGCTTCAGCATCCATTTCCTGCAATAGTAGGATTTAGCATTAAATATCAGAATAGCCTAATGTCTGTTTTGGTAGAATTCCTTAATTCAATGTGTATATTAACAAGTGGATGTGTATGTTATCCTGAGCATCTTTGGCAGCATTCCTAAATAACATATTGATACACAGTAGAATATTTCATTGTGGAAATTTAGAAATCCAATTTCTTAGGAGTTTTTAGATCTTAGGGAGGTAGCTTACAATGCTGTAGATAGGAGGCACCATCCTCTCCCCTTTAGATTTGAGAGTAGGCATAACAGAGAAACGTGGTGAAAATTCCTGCGACCTAAAAGTCCACCTGAAAACAAGAGGAAGTTTGATCATGTTTACCCCCCTCTTTTCCTTTTTGCAATGAAAGTAATCTTTTCTAGAAAAAAACAAGAGGAACTTTGATTAAATGTGCATAATGTCTTGTATTAGGATAATGAGAATGCTGGAAAGATTGACAAGTTTATCATGATTGAGAAGGACAAAAAATGGATTTTGGAGTCTAAGTGTATACCAGAAGAGATAATGGCTTACAACATACCCAATGTAAAAGAAGATGCACAACTGCGCCCATTCTCGTACTAACACCCGAAGCCAATAATTACCTGATGTGTCATCCATGTTTATGTATATCTGGGGATAAAAAAACCTAAAGTGTTTCAAAAACCAGGTTACCATAATTTTTGTATTGACTAGTTTAGTACACAATAGAATTTGTAAAGATATCCGTACCATAGTTTCTGCCATGGCAACTATCTGCATCGCACCTTGGAATTTCCTGATAGGAGACAAGCAAACAGCAGAGTTGCAGAAATTGCACCAAGGTCAAAATACACTATTGTTTTCCTCTATAAAAACTATAAATCCCTAGATCTTAATATTCAAAAGAAAGTATTTTGCATGCTTGGATTACATACTTGAACATGGTATACTTTGCATGCACTGCATCATGCATTACACGAATGTCCTCATCCTCTATAAAATTCAATTGTTCACGCAGCACCAAGAGATTCTGGGATATGTGATAGAAGATTACATAGAATGATATGAAATAGTTGAGCAGCAGGAGGACCTACGTCACAGACAGTTGAAAGAAATTAGAATACTTTAAACATGGGGAAACAGATAAATGTAGAAAATAGTTAAAAATTCAGAAAAGAATGGAGAAGCCACCAATGTAACATCAGAAATGGTCATAGTATCTAGAAGTAAAGGTCCAGATATATAATATCTAGTTGTTGCTTATTGGAGACTGCATCTTAGTTGACTATTTAGTCAGGGATCAAGGGTGGCAATGAGGTAAGGAATTTCAAGGGACTCACTCTGAAGTAAGGTACAGATGCTCTGTAACCAACAAGAGTCAAGTAGAAAATACACCCAAGAGTAGCTGTTGTACGGCGTTCAGGTACTGAAAGACGCTCAGACATGATACAGTAACCATGAGATATGAGCAAAAAAGAGACAAAAGAAGCTGTCTGGAAGAGCACTCCAGTTATGTACACCCCAAATGACATCCACAGTGAGCAAGTCTGAAGATTAAAACATGAATACCTGCAAGTGCAATAGCACGCACATTGAAGAATAGGATAATCAAACAAAAAAGAAGAAAGGCTGAACGCTGAAAAAAAAAAAAAACAGATGGAAACTCAACAATGTGATAAATGAGAAATTTAACTCGTTGACACTGTTTTCCAAATATAACAATTGATGCCAAAGGGAATTTAGGATGAAATATTTATTAAATTTGTATGCTAATTTGAGTAATTTATTTACATTGCTTCCTTATTTCCTTTGCAAAAGGAGGTCTTGTTAATTGTGTATTGTTGTGAAAACTGGTAGATGATAGATGATAATGATTTAGAAAGCTGATGATAAAGAAACGCCCTTTTGCAAAGTTATTTCCTATAGTTGAAAGGAGAGGGGAACCTCAGCGAAAAAAATGTTTACAACTCTAAGTTATTTCCTATAGTTAATGCTTCAGATGGATAATCTAATCTCTTCAAGCCATATAGAAACACATCATGAACAAAGGTCCCATTCCGGTTTCTATAATCCAGAGTGGGCAGACTTTATTTGGTCCAACTATACACATCAGAAAGCTGTACCAAGTTGCAGATAGCGAGGATGCCAAGTTAAGAGTTTTGCTCTTTGTTCCATTCAGCTGGGTTTGAAACCGCCTTCATCACTATGATTAAGATGAGTCTATCATGTTAATCTATAAGTTTCATACAGTTTACATGAAGTTTGAATGTCAGGCAAATTGAAGAAAAATCCCCATTCCCTGAGTTGCATGAATGACTTAATTTCTAGACATCACACATGGGCTAATTTGGGAAACCGGACAGATTAAATGTGTTGTAGCCAATTAATCTCTATATAGAAAATGTTCTGCAGCAAAGTCCTGCTTGAATTGCCATTAAGTTTGAGTGCCAACTATTGGCACTGGTGGCAAAAAGAAGCATTTTCTTGTAACCTCATCCAAAGCATTATGAACTATTCTTGCAACATTACCAATTTTCGTCCAAATCTGAAATGAAGGAACCTATTGATTGTTCACAAAAGACAAACAAGGTATCATATATTCCAATATCAAAACCATACATAATTCATCTTTCTGCGTCTTTGCACGTACCAGAAGAGAAAGGATAAAGCGAGCTGCAAAACTTTAATCAAAGGGACAGAGGCGAGCGTCCATTGAAGATTGTTTGTCTGCTCTAATACGGAAATAACGCCAAAAAAAAAAGACATAATTAATCATCATCATTATTATTACATTACCATAAACTTCAAATTCAAATAGAAATGCGAAGTTTCTGACGCAAAGGTGAGATGAAATCTTCCCAACCAAGAGCATATAAACTGAAGGAAATTGTTTCTTTGAAACCTGGAAGAAGTTTTCCTGGAGAAATGTTAAGTTTTTTCCCTTTTTATTTCTGAAACAATGAAGCATCAGAAACCGAAGCAATCAGAATAAGTTCCACAGCAATTTCGTAAAACCAGTTAAACAAGAAAGCCGAAAAACGAATGAATTATAACTTGCTGTTGAATTCCCTTCTTCCGTCGCTTCTTTCGCACTTCAGACACAAATTCATAGAAATTCGAGCTCTTTAAACATTTCTCCAATCTCTTGTGCAATATTCTCCGATCGAAATGGATTTATAGAATGAGTGGCATCATGACAAGTTAAAATTAAACAACTATAATAATTATAAAACCGAGTACCTGGAAATGGCGGCTATTCCATGTATTGAGCGTCCACGAGAATGCCGAAACGAACCAGATTAATAGGAAACCCAGGTACAAGGGAGGAAGGGGCCGATATGCTTCGTCCATGCCAATACTGTATGCGCCAAAGCTCTCCGGCATGTTCTCGTTCATGTCTCTCTGAAACAATCTCTAACTCTGAAGCTGAAAGCTGAAGATGAGTTCAGTTTTGAGGTCTTAGAATTCGGATACTTTGAGAATGGGCCTTGTCTATTATTAATACATGTCGAATTGCCGATCCGTCCGAAACTTGTCGTTCTATTTAGTTTACAAGGGAAGATGACCAACTCCAGAGTCCAGAGTCTAGAGGGTGTTTGGTTGTTGTTTTTTCTACCGCATACAATTAACATAGCATAAAAGCACAAGAAATGCAAGAGAAAAATATGCCGCCAAACAACATCCTAATAACCCGAGACGGATAGTTACCCTAAATATATTAGAACATGATGGAGCCTTCGGGCTTCGTGATGGGATCTGCTCCTCACAAATGGGCGCCTCACAGGCATATGATATCCTCCGTATAACATCACCCGTGAATTAAACTAATAAGTATGATATCAGCCTTGTTAAGTAATATCTGGATTGGTGCGATAATAATTTATAAAAAGACGATTATACCCTTCCGGTTTAAGAACAGTGAATCCGCACTTGCATGAATGTCAAAAGTTATTATAGTGATGATTGACGAGGCATAGTGCTGTGTGGTAACTGGTAAGTGGAGGTGGAGGGCCCCACTACCACCAATTCTAATTCCCTTCTAATTCTATTAATAATCAACTCGAGAAATCATCACTCATCAGACCATCAAGAGAAATGAATGCCAAAAGTTTTATTAAAGTTGCATGGAAACCATATTTTTCAATACACTAGGGCAAAATGGGTATTCTCCGTTTTTATTTTATTAATTTTTTTAGTATGTGTGTTAATTCCCGCCAATTCTTGTAACGGTCATGTTTCACGCTGCCGCTATGACTAGAGTCTAGAGAGATTGGGGTTGTTTTGTTATAACTAGTTCCAACGAAACATTAAGAAGGGTAGAAATGGTAAATCAACTGTTAGTGATAAATTGATAATTGATAAAGAAAAGAAAGAGAGAAAGAAATTTGGTTAGGAGGTGGGAGATGACGTGTACGGCGGGATTTGGGGGAGAGGAAATGAAGTGCGTGATGGTGTCATGCAAAACAGAACCACTCACTGGATCATCAGTTGTTCGTGCGGGTCAACGTAATCAGCCGAAATTTGGGACACAAACTCTTTTGTCTCTTTGCTTGCTCAGTTGCTCTATTGTTCATCTAAAGATTGTTTGTTTATCAAGTAAGGCCCCGTTTGGTTCGCAGAATAGGGGTCTGGAATTAGAATCGGAATGGGCTATTCCGATTCCAACTGTTTGGTTGGACGAAATCGGAATCCCATTTCCATTTTTGCGGAATGACATTCCCCCATTTGAGGGAATGGCCATTCCTTGGCTTTTTCTTGGGAATGAGATCTCATTCCTGCTGATTTTAATCCCCATTCTTATTTTTGTTTGAACCAAATAGACTATAGGAATGGATCATTCTGATTTCAATTCCAGAGGATTTCGATTTCAATTTCAATTCCGAATCCAACTACAAACCAAACAGACCCTGATTTCTCCATGTCTTAGTACTTAATAGTAGCATAATGGACCTCCAACTCCAAAGCCCAAATTATTTTGGACCACCCCAACGAATTACTACATTCCTTATGTCAGGGCCCATGAAATATTTCAATATGTAACAAGGGCTGTCAATAGACTGGATATTGGTCTAATCCGATTCGGTCTAATATGAATCTATTACAGAATCAGGTTTAATCCAATTTAATAAATATTTTGGACCCTATTGATCCAATTCAATATATCTTATTGGACACCTAACCCGTTCAAATTGATTTTAATTCAGATTGGATCAAACCCAAACCTGGTCCAGTCAAATATAAATCTATTACAGATGGGCTAGATCTAATCTGATCCAACAAATATTTTGGACCATCAAGTCTGGACTGATCTAATATTTTAATTCAACGTCTTATTAGACCACCCAACCCATTCGAATTGGTTTTGATTCGAACAGGATCCCAACCCAGTCCATTGACACCACCAGTCTGCATTCTGCAAATAAGCAAGTTCCAATAAGGACCCACTCTACAATGGCCCATTCAAATTCCAGTGGTACATAGAATGGCCAACTACCAAAGACACCAGATGGGCGAATAAAGATAGCATCTCGGATAGTTCATACAGTCATCATGGTTGATGCATGTCTCTGACCCTGCATTAACCACCAACGCAACTGTTTGTGGCTGAGGTCTCACTTCTCGGCTCAGGTAATACTAAGAACTAAGAAGCTGCCCCGGCCGCTGGCCGGCCCTCTGGTCCAATGGGTGGTTCAGTTTCACGGCAATGACCAAATTAAAGAAATCTGAATAAAGGAAGGATTGAGGGAGGGGAGGCAGGTTGGCGATATAAGCTCAACCGCTACAATTCTAGCTTTAGGCAAGTGAGTAGTGACAGCGACCTTCCTCGGGTGTGTCTTTGGGATGAAACTTGTTAGCAAAGCCAAGGGCTTAAGATTTTAGGTAGAGACGCAGAGGACCTAACATAATAACATTATTAGGTGAACGAACTCACAAACAAAAGAAAAAAAAAAAAAAGCTAGCTATTAGATGCTTTTACTCTCAACTCTCAACCCCACTCCATTAGACAGACGAAACAAATACACAAAAGCTTTTTATATACCGCTAACAAAATCACCTGAGCGTTGCCATCATCAGCTTGGTCAACTAATCACGATTCACCTTAAAAGCCCCAAGATATCTTGCGATTGATAGGGTTGGGTGGTGCCGATGATCCAATTCTACTGACTTCTGACCAAAGAGATACATCTTGGTCTGAAGCCGGATGGCAGGTCAAGGCTCTCATGAAAGATGAAACATTCTGTTTTCTTAATTTCGGATTAGGGAATAAATAAATCCCCACTAACTTGGTGGGTTAGGATCTGAATTTTGGGTCTTGTTAAATTGGGATTTCCACTTAGTCACTTAGCCCGACCCACTCCAGAGTCCAGCCCATCTCGACCCATACCCATATAAATAGGGTAGGACCAATTAAAGGGTGGGTCCTCCGAATCCCTCCTTGTGAGGCAGCCCACCTGACGCCTGACATTGTGGTTAACTGGTTATATGGGACTAATCGACAGTCGGTCACCAATTGGATTCGAACGTGATTTTCAGAATGCAACATAGGCACGTCACATGAGCTACGGGATTGATTAATCAGAACTAAAGAACTAAAAGAAGGGAAACAAATATTTTTTAAAAACAAAACTAAAAACAGTGGAATGTGGTGCACATGAACTGCACGTGAAGGGATGTTTATACAATAAATCATTGACGACCAGAGTAGCAAAATTTAAGTATCCGTGTCCGACTCGAGGGAACATCAGGACTTGATAGATGCCAGATTTTATCTCCATCCAATTACCAATAAATAGTTAACCAAATATCTATAAACTACACTACTGGGCCTGTTGGATTATTCGGTGGTTGTTGCATTCCTCATGTTGAAGACAAATCAGAACTGAATTGGGTTGGCTAAGTTGTAGTCCAGCCCAATCCAAAACAACGTAATTTGTTTACCTCTAACCTATATGGGCCTGATGATATAGAAGGACTTGGGCCAGCTTCCCCGATCCTAAGAATAGGATCAATAACCATTTTAACCACCCATCTCTCCAAAGCATAAATGCAAGTGAAGTCCAGTCTCTTTATTTAATAAAAAAAAGAGAAAAAAAAAGGCATTTGAACCCACAGGGAGGGACAAGATTTGTGTATCCAATCAAGAATAATTGGGATTAAGGTTGAGTTAGTGCATAGCATTTGAACCTACATTTTCTTCACGATATCATAACATGGGCGTTGTACAAGGCTGCTAACCAGGCCCAGGCCCAAGCCCAATTGACATGTGCAGAAAATCGAAGACACTAAATGAAGTAAAAGTGTTTCCTTAATTTCAATTTTTCATGGAATCTGAATTCACCATCCCATCCATTAAGGCTATATTTTTTTTGAAGGAAAAGGTAGGAAAAAGAAAGAAAATATAGGAAAATCTATACAAGATTTGTAAAGGTTTTCTTAACTTTCTCTTTATTTCCCTATTTTTTCCTTCAAACCAAACACAGCTTATAGAGTGTTTATGAAAGATTTTTTTTGCCACGTCAGTAAATTTTACTGATGTGGCAGTTATTTTTTGTTGTGCAAAACAAAGCCCATTATGTTGGTGAATGCCTCCTAAGATGCAGCAATTCGGGGTTGTCTAATATATATATATATATATATATATATATATATATATATATATATAAAGAAACAGGGTACTAACTCCATCTAGAACAGTGAATAGCTTTAAATGCAACGTGAATCATTTTCTTCTAGGTGGTGTCCACACATGCTGTGAATCAATATTTATGCAGTCACAAGCTGTGCTTCCCTATTTCTATGTACAAGAAATATTATCCTGCAGACTGCAGAGGTCAATGAGCTCTGAACATCATTGAATATGAGAGAGAGAGAGAGAGTTGCTGTGGTTTGTGAAGGTAAAACCACCTGTTTTTGATTCCCAAGGGCAGTCATAACATCCAAGTAGACAACAATAATAAAGAAGGGACAAAATGGAAGACCACTTGGATTTTTACCATGAAGAATCAGAAAGACTTGACACAAACTTGAATGAACTCAACCAGTTCTTCAACTTTAATCGATTAAATGTGGTTAAAATTCGCATCCAAATAGCTGTACAATCTTTCTAGAGAAGCAGAGAGAAAGAGAATGAGAGAATATTCAATTGACTTGATTATTAATATTTTTTGTTACAACCATTCAATGTCGTTAAAGTTTCTATACTCATTCAATAAAGCCCCCTCAAAAATAGTGTTAGGAGGACATGTATATTAAAGTCGAAGGTATTGGGAGCTATTTCTCTACTGTTAATAAAGCTTATTATATTATTTTTACAAATCTAGAGAGTCCAACATGAAAGATTATTATATTTTGAGTAATATATATATATATATATATACACACTAGCCAATTTTTTTTAATTAAAAGCTTTTAGGAAAAAGGATTTACTTAAAATAAGTAGAAATTTATGGATAATAATATATTTAATTTAATAAAATAAAATAACAAATAAATAAATAAATTTTCAATTTTGAAACCAATTTAATATAAATAAATCAACTTTGTTGTTAAATAAAAAATACAAATTTTTTTTCTCAATTTCCTGGCTAGGCTTTGGGCTTTATATGGGGGTCGAACTTGGGCACAAGATATAGTCCCGGTGGTCCAGTCATGCTCAG